GAACGTATCCTTCTAAAGCGTCCCGTAACATTAATCTCTTTCGTCGTTCTGTTCGAGCTGGCTCCGCGTGGTCTGAGCGAAAGCTTTCTCCACCGAGGGCCGGATGACAAATCGGTAATTTATTCTTTGCTCTCCTGGACCTTCCTGTAATTCCGGACATATTTTAGGCTGTCATACCGCGACGGCTAATGGGTGGGAAAGAATCGCTTCCTTGATGGATGACCCGCGAACTTTTTCGGAATCGATACAGCACATCGTTTTTCCGCCGGTTTTCCTTTCTTTTCCTGAGAATTCTTTGGCAGTTCGAACGAGATTCGAGCGGATCGTTGCCCGTGTACTTCTGACCAATATGTGTTACTGTTATAAGTGCGCCGCTGTAGATGTTTCCATTTTCGCTTTGCATTCAGCGCGGCTGTATTCTTTGCCGATTGTTGCTCTTTGCTCGTAAATTTTCTTGTCGCTTTGCGCTGTTCAGAGATGAGTAATGTTGATTTGACCCCTTGTCTTGCGATGTCGAGTTGGAATCCTGGATTCCTTCCATTCAATTATAAATGCAAATGTTGAATTTTTAGAAAAAACGCGTACATGTAATAAGTATGCATTTTTTCTGCTGGGAAATTACTGTTAACAATGTAAAACTAACTCCATCGCGAGACAGATAGTAAGGCAAGGGATTAAATAATATGCGTTGGATCGAAGAGACAGCTAATGATTGGTTCGTAATAAACATTTGTTCGGTTAATTGTACTCTCTTTCTGAGAAACTATTTACCAGTACGCGGACTGTCTGTGCAGTTACCAGATAGCGTTTGTGTCGTACATGATACGTAGGTATAAGAAAAAATAGAATAGCAACAAATCTTGCCCGTTTTTAAAACCAATGAGGTAGTGTACATAGATATTTTCACAAATCACAAAAATATATAGCGCACCATTCGAATGTAACGAATTTATAAACATTATTACATCTATTTTAAAAGACAACAAAATTCTCTTAGGAGAAATACGCTTGCTAGTAACTACGCGAACATCCTGGATATTCGTTAATAATAAAACAATCAACTGACTGAGTGATGAATTGTTACAATATCTAGCCGAGAAAACGTCGGATACACACGATCGCCATTGAAGTAGAATACTATCGTTAAAGCCAGACCAACGAAGATCACATTAACCGAGTGGCGAACAGTTCGAATTCGACTGTTAAAAATTTCTTCGAGCAACACCCAACGCGAAATTTTCTTTGGAATGCGTGTTCGGAATGTAGTCACTTGTTTCTTTTCTGTTCGTTCTGCAGCATGTTTCCGTTGTTGTAACAGAACTAATATAAATACCGCGCGAGCGATACGGCGGCAG